GGGGGGGGGACCCCAGGCAGGGAAGGAGCCAGGGGCAAAAGCTGAACGCGGGGCAGGGAGTGGCCCCTCCCCTGCCCTGTGGCCAGCGCCCCACGCTGCAGCTGCTTGCAGGCTGCATGGGGCTGCTTGTACCTGTGCTTGCTCTGGACAGCCCCATGGGCTGTGAGCAGTTGCAGCAGGGAGCACCAGCCATGGGACAAGGACAAGGGAGGGGCTGTTTTTCCCCCGTGCTCCTTCCTGGTGGAAAGGAAAATGGCCCCTCCCGCACACTGTGGCCAGCACCCCGTGCTGCAACTGCTCGCAGTCTGCGAGGGGCTGTCTGGAGCAGGCAGAGGCAGCCCCAGGTGGGCTATGAGCGGCTGCAGCACAGGGCTCCGGGCGGGCAAGAGGCCGCTTCCCCCCCTCCTTCCCACTCCCACTCCCCCCCCCAGCACCACCTTGTAACCCAGTGGCGCTGCCAGCCTGGGCCCCGCGCCAGCTCCAGGCTCACCAGTCGGGGCTGTGCATGGCAACAGAAGCTGCAGCCTCCCCGCTTAACAAAGCATTTGCCACTGCTTCGTGTGGGCTGCCCAGCACGAGCTCTGGGCGGGCAGCAGCAGCCAACACTGCCTGGCACGGCACATGGGGGGCGGGGGAGCCGCAGCTGCTGCCGCCGACAAGAGACCCGGGTGCTGGCTTGGAGGCCAGGCTGGCAGCAGGGCTGGGTTACAAGCTGGTGCCGAGTGTGGGGAAAAGTGGCCCCTCACTTACCCCGTGGCCAGCGCCGTGCGCTGTAGCTGTTTGAAGCCCGCGTGGGGCTGCCTGTGCCTGCTCCTGACAGCCCCGCGTGGGCTGCAAGTGCCTGCAGCAAGGAGCACCGGCCCTGGGGCAAGCGAGGGGCTGTTTTTCCCTGTGCTCAACACCAGCTTCATCCCTGCTGGCAAACCAGGGGGTCAGGGCTATGCGCTGCCCCCCGCCTGTACCGCAGGGCTGGGGGTCACTTGGTGCGAGAAGGCATGGGAGCCAGCGGGAACACAGGGCCCGCACCGGTGTCCAGGGGCCAGTGCCAACAGGGCCCAGAGCAGGGTGGCAGGAGCATGGGGTCCCAACTGGCAAGGGCTCTACGGAACCAGACCAGCTCCCCCCTCTCCCTGCTGGTGCAGCCCAGTCTGGCTCCATAGACCCCTGCCAGCCCATGCCCCGCTTTGGGCCCCACCAGTGCTGGCCCTGGGACATTGGTCCCAAGATATTGGGACACTGGTCCCAAAATGGTGACCAGAGGGCGGGTTACTTGTCAAGGGGCGGGGCTACCCATGCGGCCCTCGACAGCCTGCCAAAACTGGGTAAGCAGCCCTCCGCCTGAAATAATTACCCGCCCCTGTTCCGTATAGTACAAATTATGCATGATATTAATCCAAAGCCAAAAGGCTCATGATTTACCATAAAGTTCACTGGGCTGGGCCCCAGCAGAGACGACAACATTTCAAACCATGGTGACTGCATAGCTCAGTATGTGTGTGTACTTCAGATATCAAAACCCCAACCCCACAAAGGATCCATGTACTTATCAGCTCCGCTCCCCCTACCCCATAACTGGAACCAGGTGTTCTTGTCACGAGTCCTAGAATCTTCCAAACATTTATATGCAGATGAGGTGCAGGGTAACCTGGTCTGGCTCTACCTCATGGAGGGTGGGACTACACCAATCACATGTGACAGGCTGAGCCAGGAGTGACAGAGGGATTCTGTCTGGTTAGGGCCCCATTTGGTGATGGTTTGCCAGACATTTAAGACTGATGAAGAAACAGGAATCATTGGAAACGGGAACAAAAGGCACAGCTTCACTGTGGGAGTGAAGAGGAAGTCAAAATGTATACAGTGTAGTGGCTCATAGTTAGGGCCTGGTTTAAAATCGTAGGCCAGCTTGTGAATATCATAGCCCAATCATGGCAGAGGTCACCATTTTTGTAAGCTTGATTGCAGAGCCACTGACCATCATCTTTGAAAACTCATGACTATCAGGAGAGGTCTCAGATTGTTGGAAAAGGGCAAACGTAGTACCCATATTTAAGAAGAGGAAAAACAAGGATACAGGGAACTACAGACCAGTCAGCCTCACCTCAGTCCCTGGAAAATTTATGCAGCGGATCCTCAAGGAATCCATCTTGAAACACTTGGAGAAGAAGTTGATTAGGAACAGTCAGTATGGATTCACCAACCTGATTGCCTTCTATTGAGATGACTGGCTCTGTGGAAGCGAGGAGACCAGTGGGTGTAGTATACCTTGATTATAGCAAGGCTTTTGATATGGTCTCCTACAACATTCTTGCAGGCAAGCTAAGGAAGTACAGGTTGGATGAATGGACTGTAAGGTGGATAGAGAACTGGCTGGAGCATCGGGCTCAGAGGGTAATAATCAATTGCTCAATGTCTAGTTGGCAGCCAGTATCAAGTGGAGTGTTCCAGGGGCTGGTCCTAGGGCCGGTTTTGTTCACCGTCTTCATCAATGATCTGAAAGATGGGATAGAGTACGCCCTCAGCAGGTTTGCAGATGACACCAAGCTGTGGGAGTAGTAGATATGCCGGACAGTAGGGCTAGGATTCAGAGTGACCTAGACAAATTGGAGGATTGGGTGAAAAGGAAACTCATGAGGTTCAACAAAGTCCTGCACTTTGGATAGAACAATCCCATGCACCAGTACAGGCTGGGGGCTGACTGGCTGGGCAGCAGCTCTTCAGAAAAGGACCTGGGGGTTACAGTAGACAATAAGCTGAATATGAGCCAACGATGTGTCCTTACCGCCAAGAAAACTGAGGGCATACCAAGCTGCATTCGTAGGTATGTTGCCAGTAGGTCCAGGGAAATGATTATTCCCTTCTATTCAGCATTGGTGAGGCCACTTCTGGAGTACTGTGTTCAGTTTTGGGCCCCACACTACAGAAAGGATGTGGACAAATTGGAGAGTTCAGCAGAGGGTGACAAAAATGGTTTGGGGGCTGAGGGACAGGACTTCTGAGGACAGGCTAAGGGAATTGGGCTCGTTTAGTATGGAGAAGAGAAGACTGAGAGGGGATTTAACAACAGCCTTCAACTACCTGAAGGAGGGTTCAAAAGAGGAT